AAAGCTTAAAATACCATTAACTGTTAAAGCGGCCATGAGACTTACATTCTTTCCACGATTTGCTGGCACTGTAACAAAACATTTTGTATTCTTTATAGAACAGCCATACTGCTTAGAAGTATGTAAACTAAAGCCTGTTTCATCTAGAAACACTAAGTTATTGTCAGGAATCGAATTAATAGTCCTGCAAAAACTTTGTCTTAAATCAATGTTTTGCGGCGAGTTCCTTTCTTTTGGTACTAATATAAGTCGTTTTCTAGTGAACTCCATTGACTTCAAATATTTAGATATTGTTAGTATAGATGCAATAATATTCCTTTCAACGAGAATGTTTCTCAATGATGCTAACGTATGAGATGGATCATGCTTAATTAACATTCTAATTTCAGATTTAAGTGTCTCGTCATAAGAGCTGCGCCTTCCTTTTTTTACTGATGCGATTTCATCATCACTAAGTCCTTTACAGATTTTATCAGAAATAGAATGTGTTGCAGAAACTGATATTTCAACTTCTTCCGCAATTTCTTTTAACTTCATTTCTTTAAGAATTGACTTTCTTATTGTTTTTACAATATCCTTTGTAATAAGTGTTCTTTTTTTTCTTTGTCTCTTGTTTTCCATTTATCGATTAAAACAACAAAATAAAGCTTGAATAATATATTTTTACAGATCTCTTCTTTATTGTGAATAAACCGCATAAATTCCATAGTATAGAGTAATTACGTAATTGAATATTTTATGTTAAAATATTAACTAATTAAATGTTTTATATTAGCATAAAATTTGTTTTATATTTTCTTAAAAAATGTTTTATATTTTCTTATAAAATGTTTTATATTTTGTTTAAAAATGTTTTATATTTTCTTTAAAAATGTTTTTATATTTTCTTAAAAATGTTTTATATTTTCTTAAAAAATTTTTATATTTCGCATAAACCCTGTAAAAAGGTTGAAGCAAAAAAGTTGCTGGTTTCTATTAGCAATGATTAACTATTAGAATTTTTTTTTATAAAAACGAAATAATGTATATTTTAATATATTTAAAATAGTAAAATTAATAATATAAAATTGTTGATAAAATTATAATTTAAGTTAATTTAATGCAATATTTTTTAATATTAAGTTAATTTGGTACAATGTTTTGAAAAACAATGATAAAAACCAGGCTGTTTTGTTAAAAAAAAAAAGGATGAAGAAAAAATTTGCTTTAACGTCTTTTCCTATTTCAAAGGGATCCCTAAGTGCTATAAAGATATGAACTCATGAAAGAGTATTAAAAAAAAAATGTTTGGTGTATATTATTTTTTCTAAAACATAATAATGAACACACACTAACAAATTTAATTTTCAAAAAAACGCTTTTCTTCGATTAAAAAAAATGCGTCTTGTCCAAAGTTTATTGACTCTACTGCCTCAAAAAATCTAACGTTTGTACGTCAAATTAAACAAAGTAGACAAAATGTCATTATTGCAAACTTATTAGTTGGTAATTAAATTTAAAAGTAGAGTCGTTTTTTTTTCAACTAACACATAATTACTTACAAGAATAAGTTTTGTAGCATTTTGTGAAAATATATATTTGTATATTAAATTTTTTTTTATAATTTTAGTTTTTATATTTGTGTTATAAGGGCAATTCCACAGCTAAAAATAGAAGTCAAATTTTAAACTCTTTTTAGTCAGTTAAAAACAAATGAATATTGACTTAGACACATGAAAGTTTATTTAAAACATTTCCTTAGTAGAAAAATAAATTTATTTCAGTAATTTTTATGGTTTCAAAAGTGACGGTTACTCTCATTTTTGCTTGATAAAAAAAATAATTATTGTAAAATGTTTTAGTTAAATTAACATTTATGTTAAATTGCTATATTTTTTTGGTTCAAATTGATAAGGTTGAATAGACATTTTATTAGAAATTAAACTAAGACAGGGCTCGAATTAACGCAAAAAAATCTAATCGCGAAAAAAAAAATTTTTTTTTGCTCTCTCTCCCCCCCCCCTCTCTCTTATAGCTCGTGCCGATGTGCGGTAATGGGGGGAAAAAATTATCGTCAATAAATCAAAAAACATCGTCAAAAACATAATAAAAAATTAGATACCACGTTTTTTATAATTTATTGTTTCTTGAATAAAGGACTAATTTAAGTTTAAATATAATTAAGTTTTTCATTTAAATGGTTGTTGTTTTTATTCAATTTTTCTATTTCAAGTTTTCCAATAAAAGATAAAACAAAAAAAAATTTGGTTTAATAAATCCAATTATACTTCATGTTTAAAATAAGGCTTAAAAACGTTAAAGTAAAAAAATTGCTGGTTTTTATTTGCATTTTTATACTGTTTGAAAAAAAAAACTAATAAAAAAGAATTAACTAATAATATATTAATTAATAATTATTAGAATTAATAATAATAACAATTAATTCTTTTTTATTAGTTTTTTTTTTCAAACTATTAAAATGCAAATAAAAGTCAGTAATTTTTTTGCTCTAACGTTTTTAAGCCTTATTTTAAACATAAAGTTTTGATAAACAAAGATAAAAACCAACTTTTCAACTTTTCGCTTTAACGACCTTGTAAAAATTTTCCACACAAAGATTTAAAGTAATTTAAATTCAAAAATGTTTTATGTTGAAAAAAAATCTCTGCGCGAAAGAACATCTATTCATCTATCTATACGAAATAATAAGTTTTGTGTGACGTTCTTTATGATAAAAACATTACTTTTAAGAATTGCTAAAAAAAATGCTAAGCTAGAAAAAAAGTAATTAATCAACCAAAAAAAAAACCAGTCGCGAAAAGATTTTCTTTTAAGAAAAAACTAATCACAAAAGTGTGTGTAGCAATCGCGATCGTGATACGCTTAATACGAGCCCTGTAAGACTTTTTTATAAGTTCTAAACTATTTAAAACTATTACTTAATAACTTTTTTTTAACGACGTCTTTCTACCGAATGCTATTATGTTTTTGCAAAACTAATTAAAAAAACTTGATTAAAACTTAACTATTTAATCAAGACTTTTTTTTGCTTGAAAATCGAAGTAGATATTCTATAGTTGTTGTGACGTACTAACGTGATTTTTAATGACTAACAATCGAGTTTAAATGGTGAAAAAATAAAATCAAAATGGAGTTGTTTTTTAGTGATTTCGGCAATTGCTTTTTGTTAGCATGCATTTATTATTACAATTTAGTGAAAAAAAAAAAAAAACTTACATATTTTTTTTTTATGCTCTTTCATATGAGATCATATGTTAGGAGCACTTAGGGATCCCTTTAACTTTTCTCTTTTAAATATTTTTTACTTCTACGCAGAGATTTAAAGTAATTTAAATTCAAAAGTGTTTTACATTGAATGAAAAACTCTGCGCAAAAGAGCAAATGATCATCTATTTAGAAGATAAATTTAGCTTGATGTACTTTATGACATAAACATTACTTTTAAGAATTGCCAAAAAAAATGCTAAACTAAAAAAAAGAAAATAAACAACCAAAAAAAACTAATTGCAAAAATATTTTTTAAAGAAAAAACTAATTGTGAAGGTGTGAAAAGCAATCACAATTTGCAATAACAATACGCTGAATTCGAGCCCTGATATATGTATGTATGTATATATATATATATATATATATATATATATATATATATATATATATATATATATATATATATATATATATATACATATAAATAAATATATATATATATATATATATATATATACATATATATATATATATATATATATATATATATATATAAATATATATATATATATATATATATATATATATATATATATATAAATAAATATATATATATATATATATATATATATATATATATATATATATATATATATATAAATATATAAATAAATATATATATATATATATATATATATATATATATATATATATATATATATATATATATATATATATATATATATATATATATATATATATATATATATATATATATATATATATATATATATATGATAAACTTGGCAGATAAAGTAGATCCAACTACATTTTGTAAATGCAGTTGGATCTACTTTATCTGCCAAGTTTGAGCCACTCTCCCATTATTGTAAAGTTGCAATTATGGGGGAGTGTTTCTTTTCTTTTTCTAAAAATAATATCATGGTCAAATGAAATTGACCATGATATAATTGCTCGAATGGCTCACTTTGAGCAATTTTTTGACTAAAGCAAAGAGCAAAGTTTGAGCAAAGCAAAGAGCAAAGTTCAAGCAAAGCAAAGAGCAAAATTCAAGCCAAGCTCAAATGAGCTTTACTCATTTTGATGATAGCTCATTTGAGCTTTGCTCAAATGAGCTTATTTGTTCTCTAGTTTGATAAACTAAAACTCATTCTCGCTTGGCTTGCAGTGTCATTAGGTATCAGTAAATGTATGCCTAAATTTATAATGTATAAAGTATTATAAATCTTTTCCTAGCCCCTGCCATCAACTGCTAAATCTTATAATTTTGCAATCGCAGGTTCCTAAAAAGTTTTATTTTTAGCTGGGGCCCTATCACTTTAGACACAGAAAACCTAATCTATTTGATTGCATTTAATCTGTGTGTCTGAATGGTCAGACAGATTATATACAAATCAGTGCAGTACATGTTCTTTGACATGGTCTATTTTTGTGATATGTAGAGGTTGTAATGCAATAATTTTATTCGACCAGGTTATTTCATGCTCTATATATACTCAAATCATGGAAAATTCTTGAAGCTTCCTAAACATTTTAGGAATTTTCAAAAAAAAAATTTCAGAAAAATCACTAGAAAAATTATTGTGAATCCAATACTTTACACATAATTTAATATATTTACCATATACTTTAAACAAAAATTTTTAATATATTACCATATTACTTTAAACATAATTTAAAGCCACTGCATATACTAAGCATTTTAAGGATGTGTCACATATATTCCAACTTTTGTATAAATGCACTAGTTTATCAGTTTCTTATATTTTTAGTGCATCCTAAAGGGGGAAACTTACAACGAAAAGCTCTAACAGACATTAAAAATGTTCATCAACCTAAAACAGTGTCATTTGAAACTTCAAAACAATCTATTCATTCTACGAAAAAGATAAACGATAAAGATTGTAATGTTTTTACACCAGGGCCCAAAATATTAAAGTCAACTTTTGTTACTCCAGCAGGCGCCAAATCAAATAATAAAGTTAAAATTGCAACATCTACATTCAAGATATTTGATGATAGTAAAAATACCCAAAATGTAGAGAGATGCATAAAGTTATCTAAAAATAAGCATCAAGAACCAGATGAAATAGAGTATCTTGCACCAAATAACGATGCAGGTTAGTTTAATAATGCTATAAAGTTTATATATATATATATATATATATATATATATATATATATATATATATATATATATATATATATATATATATATAAATATATACATATATATATATATATATATATATATATATATATATATATATATATATATATATATATATATATATATATATATATATATATATATATAAAATATTTAATAAACTTATAAGTTGCAAATACTAGAATAATTTATTAAAAATTGTTTAAAAAAATTGTTTGTCTATTATTTGTCTTGTAGTTGAATAGTTCTTGTCTATATACAACATAATCAGGGATGGGGAGTCCCAAAAAAGATTTCCGATTTTAAAGTCACAAAAACATTTTATCTTCCTAGTTTTTGGTATCCCAAAGCTTTAAAAGTATAAAAAGTTTACAAACTACTTATGGTAAAAAAAATTAAGACTTTTAGGTTAAAGGAACAACCAATTTTTGAATCAATAATGGCGGCAAGGACTCTGGGATTTGGCGTTTAAAAACAATATGTTCCAAGTCATTAAATCTCATAAATTTTTTCTTATAGCAGATCATAAGCCAACTAACAGTTTAGAACTTTTGGGCTCCAGAGACCAGGAAAAAATAGATGTAAAGTTGGAGTCCTTTTGGGACTGCATCTTTTAACATAATATATTATATAGACAATAACTATTCATATTTAGTTTGGCAATTTCCTAATATTTAGGTAAGTTAATCCTGCTACTGGTAACATGTAACCCAATTTCCAGTTTTTGGATGTTGAATGCTAGATCTTCTTGACTCCTTACATGGGTTTTGCTTGTGTCTCTATTTTTATGACTAAGCAATTCATTCTATTATCTACTACTGAGAACACAGCTCTAAAACTTTGTTTTATGGCTCTAAGGCTAGCTGGTAATCAGGTTTCTTAAACTCTGTGGTAGCTCTCAGAAGGGCTGATTCCATCAACAGCTGTAAAATATACGAGTACTAACAGTGCCATGTTGCACATGGATGGTGTTCCTGTTTGTAATTTTGATGTGCATTGTTGAGGCCACGTTTGGAGCCCTTTGTTACGGCTAAGGTTTTATTATTAGTAATGAGGCAATTGCTTGGATTGTTAGATAGTGTACTGAATACTATCTGTGCTTTGAGTAAATTTCTTTATTAAATTTTTTTAATTTTAAAAATGACTAAAGTATCAAAAACTATAAAACAGAAAAAATTATCTTTACCAAGTTCTCTAAATCTATCATTCATTAATATTTGTGGTCTTTGAAATGACTTTTCTTCTGTTGAGTCTGATCTCTAGCAAAGTTCGCCAGACCTAATTGTCCTTTGTGAGACTAATTTGAGCTCAGCTGTCTCATCTTGTCATTTTAGGTGTTGATTGTTATCTTCCCTTAATTTACATGCGTGGTTTCGGCATTTACATTTGTAAGAATTTGTCCATTTGTTAGGAAGTTAGGTTTAAATGCTTTCGTTTAGCCCCACTTCACTCATCATCATCTTTCTCTTTGTTCTATATTGCTCTCCTTCATCTCGAGACTACATTCTTTGTGATGATATTTCTGATCAAATTGACCAAGCTTTTTCTCTTTATCTTTCAGCTAATATCGTTGGTGTTGGTGACATTAATGTTCATCACACTGAAAGGCTTGGCGCTAGTGTCAGTGTCAGTGACTCTGCACGCATTAAGACCCAAAGTTTTGCCTTTTTTAATCTCTGAGCCAAATAATCAACTTTCCAACTCACTTTCCAGACGATTCTAATCATTTTCCTTCTCTACTTGACTTCTGTCTTGTTTCTGATCCTAGTTAGTGCTTAGTTTTTTTCACATTCAACCTTAGGTGCTTCTGATCATGGTTTGATCTCTCTAAAATTATTATCATATCCCCCTATCATTGTAACTCTTACAACTACCTTAAAGCTGACTGGGACTATTTCAATGATTTTGTTTGTGATGGCCCTTGGTTAGAAATCTTTTGTCTTCCTGCTGAATGTGCTTCTTATGTAACTTCTTAGATCAATGCTGGCATGGAGTCTTATATTCCCTCTTGACGATTCCAAATCAAGCCACACTCTTTTCCATAGTTTTCCTCTCATTGTTCTGCTGCATTTTCCAATTGTAACCACTACTTCCATATTGCCAAAACAATTCTCTAGAAAACAGACATGTTTAACATTGTTAGAAGTCATTCTAAAGTTTTAAGTCTAAAGTTTTATCTAAAGCCAAAGCCTGCTATTCTCAGGTCACAAAATCTTGTATTTCAATCAAAAATTAGGTTCCAAAGACTTCTGGAGAACCTTTAACAGTGTCTATAATAAGGGCAAATCTGTTGTTCCTCCTCTCTTGAATGGTTCAGATTTTGTGACCTCATCTAAAAACAAACCTAAATTGTTTGCTAAGAACTTTTCATCAATCTTATCTTTTGATTCCACTAATCATATTTTACCTGATATAGCTGACAAACAGGTTGATCGATTGCTTGACATTCGAATTACTCCAGCTTCTGTATCTTGTGATTTCTTGCTTAGACTCTTCTAAAACTTGTGGTCTGGACAACAAACTTGTTATAATCTTGCAGAAATGTTTTCTGGATCTGTTTTCTATAATTTCAAAACTATTTAATTAGTGCTTATCAAAGTCTTGTTTTCAAACATCCTGAAAAGGGCCATCAGTTATACCTATTTTAAAAAATTTAGAGAGTAATCTGACTCGTCTAACTACCATCCCATTAGTCTTCCTCCTATCATAAGCAAGGTTTTTGAATGTTTATTTAACAAACACTTAATCTCTTATCTTGAATTTAATAACTTACTATCTGATCGTCAATATGAATTTTGATCTTCTCGTTCTACTGCTTATTTGTTAATGGTAATAAACAATAGGTTTTATTATGCATTAGATTGATGTGGAGAGGCTAAGGCTACTGCTCTTGACATTTCTAAAGCCTTTAATAAAGTTTAGCATGCTGGTCTTCTCTTACGATCTTCAAGATTATTGAATCCTTCCTTATCAATTGTAGTGTAAAAATTGTACTCAATGAAAAGCACTGTTTTTTATTCCTGTAACTACAGGGTTTCCTCAAGGTTCCATCCTTAGTCCTATACTTTTTTAAATTTACATTAACGATCTCTCTTACATATAAGGTGGTATTATTCCCTGATGATACCATTTTTTCTTGTCTTGATTAGAAGCCATCACTCTCTGATTGGTTGGAGAGAGCATTTGAGCTTGAAGATGATCTCAATGCTCTCAGTGGCTGGTGAACTTTAACTCAGATAAAATTCAATTTTTTTCTGCTAATCGTTATTGCAGTAATCTAGATCTTCCTATATTTATGAATGGTAATGTACTTGGTGAGTCATCTACCCTCCATCTTCTAAGATTAACTCTTCTGGATGGATTTAATATAGGATTAATTTTTGAAAATTATATATTAAATCCATTGTAAAAGTAAAAGTAATCTGCTGAGGTTGCATTTCTTTTTTGTGCTCGTAACTTTTTTATTCCAGATTCTTTTCTTTATTTCACATATAGATCTATAAATCTCAAATCTGTCCTTGTATGGAATACTGTTGCTATATCTGGAACGGATCTTTGAATGATGCCCTTTTTCTTTTAGACAAGTTACAAAAACACATTATAAACATAGTTGGACCTGCTCTTGCAGCCAACCTTTACCATTGCCACATTGTTGTAATGTTGCTCATCTTTCTCTTTTCTATAAATACTGTAATGGGTGCTGCTTTAAAGAGCTAGCATTTCTTGTGCCATGATTCTTGTGTTACTTGTCATTCAATTAAGTCTCATGTGAAAAGAAATAAAACATTCTGAAAAAGTTTTTTCTTCTTTTTTTTTTCTTAAAGTAAAATAAAATGACAAGCTAAAGATAAAAAATTCATTCAAAAATTAAAGTTGCTCAGTTACTGCTCATTTGCTTAGTTAGTGCAATCGTTATTAAGAAATTTTGTTCTTTTATTATAATTTTGTTCTTTTATTATTTAAAACATTCAATTTTTATTTGTTAACAAGCCAAGTTTAACTTCGAATTAATATTTTATAATTGTTTTATCTTTTGAAAAAACAAATTTTTTATACATTCAATTGTCTTTAAATTGAGTTTCATAAAATGTTTTGATTCAATTTTAATTGAACAACAGTTTTAAATACTAAAGGAGTTAACTTTTAAATATATTTTATTGTCCTAAAGAAAAAATGAACTGAGTAAAATAAACAGAAAATTAGTTATTTACTATTGCATTTGAAGCCAAAACTTAAAAACAAGTTTTTCTTAAAAAATTTATGACAAAATATTATCAATTTATTTTTTCATAATGGCATTTTTATAAAAAACTAGTTTTTTATTTAAGAAACCAATCAGTTAGTCCTATATAATTGAGAACATTTTCATTTCAATCTGCGCTCTTTTTAATTTTTTGCAATAACCCTGTCTTTAAAAAAGCATTACAGTTTATATGGTTTATTTTGGTTTTTTAAGTTTATTTTGAAAATGACTTTCGCACTTTTTATCTTTTACTTTATTAACAACTTTGCGAACTTGACTTTATTGTCATTAATGTTATAGTGGTATTACTAAGTATTTCACACCAAGGATTAAAAAAAAAATACATTTGCAATGCTTATCTGTGTTTAAAATAAAATAACATTTTTTGTTTACATATTCTATTATAACTTTATAATATAATTATCATTGTATTTAAGATAAAAAGTGCAAAAGTCATTTTCAAAATAAACTTAAAAAACCAAATATAAACCATATAAACTGCAGTGCTTTTTGAAAGACAGAGTTTTTTGATTTTAAAATGGTCAGTTCAGTTTTTTGTTCTGTTACCATGGGTTAGGCTTTCATGAGTTGCCTGACTCTCATGGTTTTAGTTGTGATGTGTAAAAACAGTTTATTGAGGTTGGTTTTGATATATAAATAAAGTTTTGTAAAGAGTATTGTCATGTGAAGATATATTTTTGCAATGC